GTCAGCCTCTTCCAGTGCCTTACTACTCTTATCGTAAAAAAACTTTTTGTTTGTATCCAATCATAGAATCACAGAATGGCTTTGGTTGGAAAGGACCTCGGAGATCATCAAGTTCTAATCTCCCTGCCACAGGGAAGGTTGCCAACTGTTAGATCAAGTACTAGATCAAGTTGCCCAAGGCCCTGTCCAAACTGGGCTTAAACACCTCCAGGGACCAGATCATCCACAACCTTGTCTGGGCAGCCCGTTGCAGCACCTCACCTCTCTCTCAGTAAGTAACTTCCCCCTTACATCTAATCTAAATATCCCCTCCTTTAGTTTAAAACCATTCCCTCTTATCCTATCACTATCTACCCTTACAAAAACTTGATTTCCCTCATGTTTATAAACTCCTTTCAAATTTTGGAAGGCCACAATTAGGTCTTCTCTTTTCCATGCTGAACAAGACCAGTTCCTTCAGCCTGTCTTCGTAGGAAAGGTGCTCCAGCCCTTGGACCATCCCCATGGCCCTCCTCTGACTCCTTCTCAAAAGCTTCACATCTTTCCTGTGTTGAGGGCCCCAGACCTGGATGCAGTACTCCAAATGGGAGCTCACCAGGGCAGAATAAAGGGGGACAATCACTCCTCTTACCCTGCTGGCCACTCCTCTGCTGATGAACCCAGGATACCACTGACCTTCTGAGTTGAAAGTGCGCACTGCTGGCTCATGTTCAGTTTTTCATCAACCAGGACGCCAACATCCTTCTCAGCAGAGCTACTGTCAAAGAGCTCTTCTCCCGGTTTGAATACATGTATGGAATGAATTCGGCCCAAGTGCAAAATCTTGCACTTTGCTCTGCTGGACCTCATTATATCCAATCTGATGCAATTTGCTAATTACTGCTATAACAGAGGTGGATTTGACATCTTCCCAAGTATTCCCAAGCTAGTTCATTACACCAGCAGGGGTATTTTGGACCTGACAATGCTATGTTTCTAATTTCACTACAGTCTGTTAAAAAGTTTGCCTTAAAAGTCCTTCAGAATGTACTATGAATGCATACAGTTGGTGGGATCAAGGGAGGAAGAAGGAATGGCTATGGAAGGATACATTTTTTTAAGCAAATTGAACTTGCACTCTCTTTCTGAGAGAATTGAGGAAGAGCTTATTTGCCTGGTAGGCTGAGACATACTGTCAGTGATGAAGAAGGTAAATCTAGAAGCTATTACACAGCTTTCCACTGGAACAACTAGTCATCAGCAAGTGGAAGTAAAATGTGTTGGGAATTAGAACAGTTATGTGGTGGCGGAAGCGGTAGGGGAAAATGCACAAATCTAATTTGGAGGATAATTTTTTTACGCAGTGTCCCCAATGGATAGTGAGTTTTGTGCCTTGAGAAATGCTGAGGCTGTAAATCTATTATACAATGCTATTTTCAACTGAGCGCATGCTTGTGTATGTTTGGAAATAGCCTTGTCAACAGAGAAGGAGCATTAAAACAGAAGATGGCTGTCCCAGGCACTTGTTCTGCCACAGTGATGAGCACAGATACTACCAATATAAAGCTGCAGAGTTCTTCTGCAGAGATTTTCAGATGAGAAAAGGATTTGCTGCTTGGAGACAATGCATGATGTGACTTCGGGGAAAACTGTCAAATGAATCTAAAGCAATAATAGAGCTATTTTACCTAAAAATGTCAGTATTGGAATTGGAAGCTTCTCTGGGATAGAAAGAGCAATGCCTGGTCAGAACGCTGTCGGATTTGATTGCATGTCCTGCCTGCACAGCTGGCAGAGAATTCCACAGCACAGCCTGAATGAAAATTATACTGACACCTACAGTGTCCATTATATATATTATCAAAAATTGAACCCTCACTAATCAGCAGTACAAAGAAGGCTGGAAGGTAACAAATCCCAACCTGCCAACCTGAGGCAGATTGGCAGTGTGCTGGCTCAGCAGCACAGGTGCAATGGAGACATGCTTTGAACTCAAGGAGCAGGAGGGAGGGAGCTCCGTGTCTGCAAGTGTTTGGCTGACCTTTCTGCATGGTTCTGCACAGGATTTGCCAGAGCGGAAAAAATATATATTGGACCAGAGCATGGGTGACTGTGCTGTTCTAAAATATGAAATCAAGCTTTCTCTGCAACAAAACAAATCAAAACAAAAACAAAAACTTAAACGTAAACAAAACCAAAACAAAACAAAAACGAAAAACCAACCCTCCAAGCAACTATATTTTATATTTACGTAGAAAAAAAGAGAAGAGAGAAAAGAGGAGAGGAGAGGAGAGGAGAGGAGAGGAGAGGAGAGGAGAGGAGAGGAGAGGAGAGGAGAGGAGAGGAGAGGAGAGGAGAGGAGAGGAGAGGAGAGGAGAGGAGAGGAGAGGAGAGGAGAGGAGAGGAGAGGAGAGGAGAGGAGAGGAGAGGAGAGGAGAGGAGAGAAGAAGAGAAGAGAAGAGAAGAGAGAGAGAAGAGAAGAGAAGAGAAGAGAAGAGAAGAGAAGAGAAGAGAAGAGAAGAGAAGAGAAGAGAAGAGAAGAGAAGAGAAGAGAAGAGAAGAGAAGAGAAGAGAAGAGAAGAGAAGAGAAGAGAAGAGAAGAGAAGAGAAGAGAAGAGAAGAGAAGAGAAGAGAAGAGAAAATAGCTTTCGTGTTACAGTTGCATATAGGGATGAAACAACAAGTTAGGAACTCAAGGCCAGATTTCAACCCTCAAAAGTAGGCTTCTTCTCTGGCAGCACAGTCACTGCAGCTCACTGGACAGCTTTCATGAAGACATTCACATCCAGAAGCTGACTAAGATCTCAGCCAGGCTGACTGATACCAATGCCATGAAGATTTTTCTTTCCTTTATGTCCCATTTTTCAAAATGCTCAGGCAGTGAGCTCCAGCAAAGGCAGCACACTGCCACTGAAATTGTGTCAGTAGTGGAATAGGGCTCTTCACTCTTCGCACAGGAAGGACCACAGCAATACAGTCAGAGAATCAAAGTCATTAAGGATGAAGAAGAGCTCTAAGATATCCAGTCCAACCGTCCATCTGCCACCAATACTGCCTACTAACCATGGCCCACAGCGCCACATCTCACGTTTCTTAAACACTCGTAGGAATAGTGACTCCATCACCTCCCTAGGTGCCTGTTCCAGTGCCTTACCCCTCCTTCAGGTAAGCTTTCCTATTATCCAACCAATGACGCAGTGCACACAACAACTGACTTCCAGCTTCTGCAAGTAACATAGTTTACAATTAAGTAACACTCTCATAGTAAGTTCTTTACAGAGAGAGTGGTGAGGTGCTGGAACAGGCTGCCCAGAGTGGTTGTGGATGCCCCGTCCCTGAAAGCGTTCAAGGCCAGGTTGGATGGGGCCCTGGGCAGCCTGGTCTAGTATTGAATGTGGAGGTTGGTGGCCCTGCATGTGGCAGGGGGGTTGGAGACTCATGATGCTTGAGGTTCCTTGCAACCCTGGCCATTCTGTGATTCTGTAACCCCTGTGTGATGCTGACAACTTTTTCTGTTGTTGCAGATGGAGCTCAACTTATCACTTAGCCTGTAATCAAACATTAGTAGCTTGTCAGACTATAGCAAACTCATAGCAGCTGATGCCCAGCCTGCCACTTGCCTGCTCCCACATCACAATCTTCCTCCCTTTAGGAAGGGTTGACAGTGGTCCCCCATCCAGATCTTTATCTGCCCAGAGTGGGAACAAGTTAATCACCATTAATAGAAACTGCCTGGACCTGAATGGTGCAAAAACCCCATCCTATGCGCTGGAGGAAACCTTCAGTAACTTGCAAGAGGCATTTCAATCCATCAGCTCATTTCTAGTGATTACCTGTAATTTTACCTCGAGGGCGTCTATTTTCTAAAAATAACATGAAATGCTCTTAATGCCTTCATTCTTTAGTTAAGCAATAACTTTATCTCTTGGGAACATCTCTCTAACGGCCTGTCTAATTGGTGTTTTATTCTGAGGCGTCCCAACTTGTGATAGAGTTCACACAACCAAGTACTGAGTTTTTGCAATGTGTTGAGGCAGTTCTTGCCCATGTTTTGTTGTCTGAAGCAGACATGAGCAGCAACCTGAGACCTGTCTTTAGTATGAGATCTTTCCTTAGCACCCACACCGACAGTTAAAAAGTGTAATGAAATAATCAGAATGAAAGGTACGTGTTGTTTTGTTTCCTCTGGATAAAGACCTGCGAGGGATTTCTCATTGGAAATTGTTCAGTGTTCAGTAAGCAGCCAGACACACCAGCCTCCAGCTCCAGAAAGGTGATACGGCTGCCGGGTGCCGGTCCATGAATTACCGGGGCTGTCAGATCTATGGTCACCGAGTCTCTCTTTAATTATTATTATAAGTGATCACAGTGGCAATATCTCTTGACACAGTGCCATGAAGAAACCAACAGGTGATGGAAAAAAAAAAAAAAAAAAAAAAAAAAAAAGCATAAAGGCAGCAGCCATCAGCACAGCACCTTTATTTCCTCGCATTTTCCCCTTGAGAGATGCTCCCTCCCCTCGGGGCTCGGGAATTTCGCGGTTCCCCTGACGGCGAGGGGTGGGAGAATGCGGCGTCGGGGCTCTCGGGGACTCCTAGGGAAAGCGGTTTGGGTCCCCTGAGAGACGGGAGGCTAACGGAGCAGCAGCAAAAAGAGGGAGGGGAGGAGGGCGGCTCCGAAACCGCGTCCAGGTACGGGCTCCTGGCTTCCCGCAGGGACCCGGGGGGCTGCAGGGCCGCGCACGCTGCGATCTTCGCTCCGAGGGTCCGGGGTGAAGGAGGCGACTCCGAAGGGCAGAGGGCAGCCGGCTCGGTTCCAGCGCCCCGCAGCCGCCCGCCCCGTCTCAGCCCGGGTCCCGCCCCCGAGGCAGCCCTACTCCCAGCGGGAGCCGCTCCGCTTCCCTCGCCGGCCGGGAAGGATGCGGGCGGCAGCTCCGAGGTAATTATTAATGGCCGTGCCCACCGAGGCCCCCGGGGCGGGGAGGAAGTAGAGGAGTGAGGATAAAAGGGGGCGGCGGGGGGCGGGAGGAGGAAACTGCCGTCGCGGAGCCCCGCCGGGAGCATGGCTCCGCTGCCGCGGGTGCTGTTGGTGCTGTTGGTGCTCGGGCGGCCTCTACTTGGGGCACCGGGGCAGGGCGCGGGCACCTGGGCCCGCTTCGCCCGCCTGCCCTACCCGCAGGACCAGCTCTTCCTCCACGACACGTTCCCCGACGGCTTCCTCTGGGGCGCGGGCAGCGCTGCCTATCAGACCGAGGGTGGCTGGAGACAGGGCGGCAAAGGGGCTTCCATCTGGGACACCTTCACCCACCGACCCACTACTCCAGCAGGGTCCATCCCGCCGGGTCCAACGGGAGGAGATGTGGCCAGCGACAGCTACAACAACATCTTCCGTGACATCGAGGGGCTGAGGCACCTGGGGGTCTCCCACTATCGCTTCTCGCTGGCATGGACTCGTCTGATGCCCAACGGCACAGCACCCATCAATCCCGTTGGGCTGGCCCACTATGGCCGAGTCCTGAGCCGCCTGCAGGAGCTGGGCATAGAGCCCGTCGTCACTCTCTACCACTGGGACCTGCCACAGGGCTTGCAGGATGCCTACGGTGGCTGGGTCAGCCCTGTCCTGCCCGACCTGTTCCGTGACTACGCCGAGCTCTGCTTCTGGCATTTTGGCGGGCAGGTCCGCTACTGGTTGACCATGGACAACCCTTATGTGGTGGCCTGGCACGGATATGGCACTGGGCGGCTGCCACCCGGCGTGCAGGGCGGCCCACGCCTGGGCTACCGCGCGGCGCACCACTTGCTGCAGGTAAATGATGGGTGGCCCTAAAGTGGGTGGTGGGAAGGGGCTTTCTCCTCCCATCAGAGGAGCTGTGGTGGCTCCTCAGCCCATGGATTATGTCAGCAGGAAGGCTGCCCACAGCCTTCCCCATTGTATGGATCAATTTGCTGGGCAGCAGCTGGATTGGAAACTAAATCAGTTTGGAATGACGGCTGGGGCTGAATGAGCCCCCTGCTCCTTGATGGTAGGCAGGTAAAAAACATACGCTTCATAAACTGGAGATATGAGCTTTGTATTTGCAGTTATCTTAAGGTAGTGACAAAATAAAGTGGCAGATAGGTTGTGGATGCCCCATCCCTGAAGGTGTTCAAGGCTGGGTTGAATGGGGTCCTGGGCAACCTGATCTAGTGCTTGATCAAGGGGTTAGCAGCCTTGCCCATGGCAGGGGGGTGGTACTAGATGATCTTTGAGGTCACTTCCATCCCAAGCCATTCTATGACATGGAGTTGAATTGTTCTCGGTATGCCACAGAAATATTTACTTCTGCCCTCCAACATTTGCAAGTGCTATTGGGGATGGGTGAGATACATTCGGCTGTGCCAGTTCAGCACTGGCTTGCAGTTACTGTGGAGATACTCAACACATCTACGGAAAGAATTTAAACATTTAATTTAAAAAAGTCTTACTGAGTTAGTGGAGACAGTAGAGGTAGCTGAAATGTCATACTGAAGGATGCTCTTGACAAAATGCAGGCTTTTTTGACAATATAAAGAATTTTGGGGAAAAAAAAGAATCTCTACTCATCAGCTGGTTTAGTCAGTGGCATAAATACTTTGCTATAAATAATTTTTATACAGAGTATATAGTATAACTGTAATTTGTACTGGAAGCGTTTGTGGATTCTTGAGGAGAATTAAGCAAAATTGTGTGCAAATCTTTTCACCAGCAGGATAAAGGACTGCTAGACTCCTGTCTGTCTAGCAGGAGTGATGTGGCCCCCAAAGCACGGTCTGTCATACTTCAGTGCACGTTTACATTCTCTGCTAACATTCTTCTGCTTACCATGGCTTACCTGCAGCAGTTGTGTTGTAGAGTATCATGCATGAGATGAGAACTTCAAGAAAACATCCAACACTTCTTATTCAACCTTTTGCTGCTTTCCTGCATTGCCTTTGCATTGTTTAGAGGTATACATATTTTAAAACAAAGTATAGGTGGGGAGGATGTGGGCAAGATATCAGGTGGCACTGAAATTGCTGGTCCAGAAACCTTTGCACTCTCAACAGCCTTTAGGGTGCACCTAGACAAGTTTGTGCTGTGATAGTTCCATTCACTGAACTGAGTAAATGAATAGAACTATTCCTAAACGTCAGTACTTGCAGGATTAGCCACAAGTTTTGCAGCAGGGCTGCATCACCTCACATTTTTGTGCTGTTCAGAGAGTCACTGCATAGCTGTCGGTGCGCTGTTTGGTACGCTTTGCATAGTTACTCTGAAGGCAGTGGGGCTCCACACAAGGGCAAGGGCTGTCGCTTGGTGCCTGCGGTGCAGAACCTCAGGGGCTGAAGCTCTGTGTCTCTCTCCTTACAGATGACATGCGACAGAAATCATTAGCTGCAAATGTGAGCGCTCAGGTTGTCAAAAGGAAGATTACCTTGGAATCATTACTTAAGGGTAGTAGGCTTGCTGAGATAGAGTTTTAATGTTGTCTGTCACTTTATTGTTATTTTCTGAAGTGCTGTGCAAAATGAGCAGGTAATGAGGCTGTTCATATTCTGTGTAGTTCTTCCCTCTACCCATTGTTCAGTTTGTAGCTTCAGACTCAAATTAATACAGGCCTTGGAGAGCAGACAAATAAATGCCATGTCTGTCCTTGGCTTTTCCATAGTGCTGTCTGTTCTAAGTATTGATATCCCACATCACTGCAGTATCGGAGTCTTTCATAACCTGAAGCATGTGGTTGTTTTCATAAAAGTGCTATGAAGAAGGAAAGTGCCTTTGCTATTTACCAAAGGAGAAACAGAGGCACAAGCTTGTAGAAGCACTGTAGAAAGTACAATTGAACCAGGAAAGCTTACCAGTACTTGGTTTAGTAATAGAATCTCAGCATTGGTTTTCTCCTAGTCTCCATCATTCAGCTTGTTCACTATTGGTGAACATTTCTTTTTATGCAACAGCATAAGGCAGTAAGGTATCATTGTATTTTCCATATTTCACAAATGGGGAACTGAAACACAGATACAATTAAGGTCAAAAGTGTCCACTGATTGTTAGTGTCCTTTTTCCGCTATGTGATTGGTTTTTTTTTATTATTGGTAAGTTATGTTTTCAGCTTTTCTACATATATGAACCCAAAATCTCAGATCATTCCTAGAGAAAGAAGGGGATGTGATGCTCATGGAGAGGAGCTCCCATCCGTGACTCCTCCAGGTTGGAGGCTTCAGCAGAGGCAGAGAGAGATTCTTAAGGACAGAAAAGTTACCAGTTCTGGCACTGCAGTCCTCTTTCTGCTTTCTACATTACCCAAGCTTATTCATAATAGACCTTTCAACCATGCAAGCAATGAGATAGGAAGCTGAGAACGTTGCTTCTTTGACTGCTCAGCCTGCTATCTGTCTTGTAATAATTGTCAAAATGATACCACACGTGGTAAAAGTCTTGAATTACATTTTCATGTGCAAATTAATTTTTCCTCTTACATAATTGTTGCATAACTGACTTTACAATTTGAATATGGTTTTTAATGGATGCAGGACAGTGTATAGTTTTGTAGGTGACTTTGGTCAGTTATTCTCAGGAGCTGATGCAGCCTTGTTTTGTATAAGAGCAGTAGTTACTGGCTTATTTCTTCATCACATAGCTTGTAGGGTGTGCACCGTGCTACTGGGAGATCCAGTTCTTACAGCCTCATCAGTAAAGATGAGGTTGTGTCATCTCACACAAAAATACCCTTTCAGGAATCCAAACTTCTGCAGCTTTTGTCTTACATTACCTGAATCATCCAGTCCCAATCTTCTTCCTAATTCGTTTTCCTTCTCTGTGGTGTTCTTGTCTCTTTTCTTCCAGTGAAATTAAGCCTGCAGAATGTTTGTCTTTTAAAAGGTAAAACATATCCTCACAAACTTTTGGTTCTCAGCAAATGAGCTGATGGACTCTTATCATGGCATTTTTTCCCTTATTTATAATATTTAAACAGCTTTAAATGTCTTCTTTCTGCATTTATTCAAACTGAAGACCCTCAGGAGTAGAAAGCTTAATAGCCAGTGAAAGCTGAAGTCTACTAATTTATTTTACAGGACACTAATTAAGAGATTAAATAATTTCCTTTACATTCTTGAAAATTCAACGTATATGAATGTGGATTTTGGGCTCTCTCTTTTTGAATGAGTTATTTATTATCTGAATAAATAATCAAATAAGGCTGTGATTCAATTCAGATTGTTCAGTTCAGGGTTGCTGAAAACAGTGCGATGAAGTTCAATCTGATTAATGATGTTTAAGTTTGGCTTGAATGGATTTTGTCCTGTTGTCCTGCACTTGTTAATTGTCTTTCATTTTTCCACTACAGCAACATATCAGACTCTGAATGGACAGAATAGGAGGCACTTTTCATGAAGACTACATAACAATCATTTAAAAACATCTATCTAAAAAAACCAGTTTAAGGATGCGTCCATAGCTGTTTGTTCAGGGATGTCAATCATTATTTGTTGAAAATGTCTCCCTTTGATAGTATTTCCATTGACACTTGCGTAGCTTTTGACATGCACTTCAAACCTGCTAAAAAACAGAGGAAGCAATGCACATTTACTCACAGAATAAATTGGGTGGATCAAGTACAGGTTATAAAGGTTGGCATTCTCTTTGAGTCAACAGCCCGAAAATGTCATGCCAGCAATCTGTCGTGTATCTGATGCACCTCTTGTTGATAGAGGTCATTGTATTACGTTCTGTTTTTTGCAAATGCATTTTTTTCATTACTAGTTCACACCATATTGTCTGAGTTGGACGCACTTGGATTTACTCAATACAAACAGCATTTGCAGAAACAGAAGAACACTTTGTTTCCCCAAAGAAGTGAGTGGAACTGCTGCTTGGAAACCAGTCACATAGCAACAGAGTACTGATTTTCCTTCCCTTCCAAAACAAAAGGTAAGTACACTTTAGTTGACCTTCAGTTCTAAACCTAATAAGGTGTCAATAATTGCAGCACAGGAGAATGGTCTTTTCTTGCTGCATGTTGTTTCTTTCAGCATTCAAACAGCCATCAAACTTTCACTCAGTGCAAGTGGAATTACTTTGGATTTTCCTGAAAGCAACGCAGCTCATTGTAGTTGTGAAAGAACATCCAGTTGTGTTTTTTTCTTAGAAAAAAGAAAAAATGATTCGAAGCAATAGTATTTTTTTTCCTGTCCTTACTGTCGTTAAGACTTAATTCAAAGAAGAAAAACCAGATTGGTTCTATTTCCAGTTCTGAATTTCAGTCTTTTTTCCAACTGGGTAGTGTATATATAGTTGTAAATAATTTACTGCAGTAATGATTATGCTAATCACCAAGCATTTGAATTAAGTAGTTTTCAAATGCCAGAGATGACAAACAACTACAGTCAAACCATGCAGCAAATTCAAATGCAGTTTTCTGTGCAAGTGGCTAGGAATGTTTATGCTGTGTTTGCAAATTATATCAACAGCTGAAAGTTGACGTACCTTCCTGAAGCTTTAGTCACCAAAAGAAAAAAAATAAATTGAGTTTCGTTTTCAAATGTGGTAAACAGGAGTTTGGTCTTTCACTGATACTTGTGTTATTAGAATTACCTCCAAAGATAGAGTATATAACTTTCCTCTTGTCATTTCTACCTGAAAACACATGCATTTGCTAAAGGAATGTTGTTTTAAAATATTCTTATGGATCCAAGTTGAGGGAGGGAAGATTTAGGTTGGATGTTAGGGGGAAGTTCTTCACAAGGAGAGTAGTTAGGCCCTGGAACGGGCTGCCCAGGGAGGTTGTGGATGCCCCGTCCTTGGAC